CTCCACCTCTACCACAGAACAGAGCTTCCATAATTCAATAATTTTTTGAGGGTTGTGTGGATATTCCCCCGGTTGTCATGGAGACGGGGACGCTGCCTCCTTTGTTTACGAGTGAGGAAATATTTTTGGTTTTCCTGTTGTTGGTAGTGGAGGGGGCAGGAGAGAGAGAGCACAAACCTAAGCTCACAGTATACTAAAACACAAACCACACAAGAGGAACAGGAAACAGAAAGATTTAAAAGTGACAACCCTGGAAGTGTAGCCAGCCATTGCATATTGCACGGAAGTTAAAACTGCAATAGTACATTTACTTAGACGATGAATACGATACAATTATACTGTAGAATAATGTTGGTATAATTGTTAACGTTTAGGTGAGTGTATAGAAGGTTGCAACTCATGGGGAAATGGTAGTCTTAATGTATTGGGTTTGTATAGCATAAAATATATTCTGTTGTATAGCAAAGGTATAGCAGAAAGTAGTAAGGGCTAAGTGTATAGCATAGCATGGAGTACAGTGGTGTATGGGAAAGAGTACTGTGGTGTATAGCAAAGAGTACAGTTGATTTAAGGTAAAGGTTTAATATATAGCAGGGAGTACCATTCGATGTGAGAGAAAGAGAGAGAGAGAGAGAATTTTTTACACGAAGCGTTATATAATAAATTTACTTCCCCGTTTTCTCTAAATCTCAACTCCTGTTCGAGGAAACTCATCTATTTTCATTTTTCTCATATTTTTCATTATTATTTTATCTATAACTTTATCTTTTTAAGTCTATATCCCCTTCGTTTCTCTTCCCTCCTATAATTTATCTCACCTGGTGTACCTACGAATTTTTATCCTTGTCTATTATTCCTTCGTTTTCTTCTCCCCTCCTTTTAGTCTGTTATTTCCTCTCCCTCCCTTTTGTTTGGTTTATTGTACGTTGTCTCTCTCACTGATTTGCTAAAAGTATTCCGTGTTGTGTTGTTGCATTGGTTGTGTCACCTTTACTGATACCTCTCTCTCTCTCTCTCTCTCTCTCTCTCTCTCTCTCTCTCAATTTTCCTTTTGTTTTCATTAATCTCTTTTATGTCTCTTCATTGTCTTTTTCTCTCTCTCTCTTTTAATTCATTTGGTTGTTGCTTTGTCTTCTATTCGTTCGTAAGGGTTGATTTATTCCGTTGTTTTCAAGCACTGGTTCTTTTTCTCTCTCTCTCTATTCTCTCTTTTATCGTCTATTCCTTCCTGTTTCCATGTTTTGTTGTTTATTTCTTCACTTATTTTCATTTTATCAGCAATTTCATCCTGTTTCCATATTCGTTTACTTAAGTTTATTCTCTTCCGTTTTTATTGGTCATTACATATTATTCCTCTGTTTTATTATGTGTTTCTCTTTATTTATCGTTCTATCCCCAGTTATTTACGTAATGGAAAGAAACAAAATATTAAGACGCCTACATAATTAAATCTAATTTCGTGGTAATTAAGCGACCAATTATTACAAATGACGAACAATTTTGACGTATTGGGAAAAAAAATTCTGGAAATACATTTTTTCTTCTCGAGTCCATCTTGTATCTGCCATCTTGAGTCCCTTTCACGTAGCACTTAATTGGAGGGCCTTGGAGTGAGGGAGGGGAGGGAGGTGGAGTGGAGTGTGATGATGGAGTTGGTTAATAGAGGGATGGTGTGGGAGGAGGGGAAGGGGTGGGTGAATGGAGGGAAGGAGTGGGAGGGAGTGAAGGAGGATGGGAAAGTGAGGGGGGGTGAAAGGGGAAAGCAAAGAAGGAAAGGATAAGAAAAGATGAAGAAAGTAACAGTAGGGGAGAAGTTGTTCAGATAATTGAGAGAAAGAGATAAAGGGGTGAGGGAAAGAGGAGAAAACCTTAGAAGAGAGAGACAGAGGAGTGTAGGAGAGAAGAGCGAGGGAGTGGAAGTGTGGGAGAAAAGAGAGGAGAATAGGAGAGTAGAGAGAGAGACAGAGAGGGAGGTAGAGTGGAAGAGAAGAGAGAGAGATCAATAAACAGAGAGGGAAAAAGAGAGACAGAGAGAGTTTGCAGAAGAGATAAATCAAAGAAAACAGATAGAAAGAGAAATAGAAAGGGGGAGATTAAAAAGAAAATGGAAATTGCACAAGGGAGGACTTAGCCATTAGTGTCACCAACCAAAATTAATTCTCACTGAGGCTCAAACAACGCTAACTTGTGAACCTTTAACACGGTGTTTTAGAATCAATAAACTCTGAGTACACCACGATGTTAATTTCCCACCTAGTGTGTGTGTGTGTGTGTGTGTGTGTGTGTGTGTGTGTGTGTACGTACTACACCTTTGTTTCAGAATTAATTAACTGTATTTAATTGTATTTATTATCATAACTATTACAGAACAGCTGATTTACACTGGCCACCTACCTGTAACTTCTTGTTTCAGAATTAATTAAGTTAAATAGAATAATCTCCACCACACCTCTACCACCGTAACGATTATTGATACCCAGATTAATTACGTTCTGCCATTATTAGTGAAGTGATTATGCAAAAGGTAATTCAGCATGATCCTACCTGCCTACCGTAACAATAATTACTAAAACACAATTAGATATTTTGAGTTGACGAGAGGTAGACTATCACTACACACTTATACAGATACACTTACACGTCCTCACATACACCTAAACCCACATATATAATGGTTGCCCCCCGTGTAACGAGGATGGCCGGCCCAAGGGCCACCTAGGCGTGATTTTTTTAAGGTGTAGAAGCTGTCGCCAACACAACAACCACACCCTGAGTTAACGAGCTGCATGACCCAGTGTCAAGGAATAGTCCGAGAAGACCGGACAACTTGCCAACTGCACTGGCTAACCATTACCCCGGAACACGATCCGCAAATCGATTAACATCCAGGCAAATGGCGTAAAGAAATTTGGGCATAGTTTCACCCTGCCCGGGGATCGAACCCGGGTCCACTCGCTTGCGAGACGAGCATTCTGACCATTACACCACAGGTCGCCACAACCTACACGTATACAACAAAACCTACACCTACACACCAAGACCTTGACCTACTCAGATACATCTATACGTACACACCTCCACCTACACCACCCACACCTCCACCTACACCACCCACACCTCCACCTACACCACCCACACCTCCACCTACACACTCCAGGATACAGCGAGTGTGTCCTTTCATCTCTTTCTCATCCACTCTGGCGGAAAATTAGCCCACAGTGTAAACACGACCCTGGTAATCTTCTCAGACAGGATAGAACCCGTGGCGCAGTCTTAGATGTCAGTTGAGAGCCTCCAGTTATTGGCTGCTGCTTCAAGTGTTCGCTCGAACTGCTTCTGTGAGTAATTGACTCAAGTGGTTTTCAAATGGTCGTAATATTTATTTTATTTTTATTTGTTTCGTGAGCTGATGTGAGATTGTCTTTCGTTCACTTAAGATGCAAAACAAAAGTGGATTCTCAAGTGTCCAGATTTCGTTCTTTAAGTTTTACCTAAAGTGGATATATGGGGATGTTTCTTATGTGGCTCTCTTAAACTACAATACAAATCTTAATTCTCTTTATTTTATCGTAACATAATTGAAGTACTAAATGCATATATCACTTGGGGGGGGGGGACCTCAACTTACACTATCACTTCAGGGAAAAACTGAACTTACGAAACTTTAAGGGGTCGGTTACAGTACGAATTAGAGACACAAAACTTTGAGGGGTCGGTTACAGTACGAATTAGAGACACAAAACTTTGAGGGGTCGGTTACAGTACGAATCAGAGACGGGAACATCATTATCGATCACAACATTGAAGCGGAACACCTCATCACCGTCTCCACTGTCCCCAGCAATCCTCTCACGCCTCCCTCACTGGTTGCCATGGAGATGTGTCGTTGTCATGGATGTGCGTCGTTGTCATGGAGATGTGTCGTTTTCATGGAGATGCGTCATTGTTATGGGGATGCGTCGTTGTCATGAAGATGTGTCGTTACTATGGGAATGTGTAATTTTCATGGGGATGTGTGGTTACCATGGGGATCTGTTGTTGCTAGAGGGTGTGTGGTTATCAGGGGGATATGTGGTTTATTTCAGTCAGTCAGTCAGTCAACTAGCCAGTCAGCCAGTCAGTCAGTCAGCCAGTCAGTCAGTCAGTCAGCCAGCCTGTCAGTCAACCAGTCAGTCAGTTCAATCAGTCAGTCGGTGAGTCATTCAGTCAGCCAGCCAGTCAACTAGTCAGTCAGTCAGTCAGCCAGTTAATCAGTCAGTCAGTTAGTCTGTCAGTCAACCACAATCTTCATGAACTCACTGAACCAGTTAAAAAATCTAATTTCTGTTCTAAAAGCGTTACTTAAGAACATAAGAAAATAAGGTGTCTGCAATAGGCCGGTTGACCTGTGCATGGCAGCTCCTGTCGAGAGTTGCTACCACTCTCTACCATCCATTAGAGTGTGTGTGAAGGTAATTACTGACTATACAGGTAATTAGCGTTAATTACCTGACAGCTACTCCTCCAACAGGTGAAATTATGTTATCCCTTAACTGTGTGTGACGACCATGGCTCTCTCTCTCTCTCTCTCTCTCTCTCTCTCTCTCTCTCTCTCTCTCCATGTGCCTGAACCACGGCGTGAAAGATACAATCTTACTTCACAGGAATACCAAAAGGATCCAATCTTGTCTCGAAGGATCGGCAAAAGATTCCATATAACTACCTGTTTTAACCTAGCTGTGTTTAACCTTGACCTAATTTACCTGTTTTAACTCATCTGTGTTTAACTTTGACCTAATTTACCTGTTTTAACTAGTCTGTGTTTAATCTTGACTTAATTTACCTGTTTTAACTCACCTGTGTTTAACCTTGACCTAATTTACTTGTTTTAGCTTACCTGTCTTTAACCCAGACCCAATTTACTTGTTTTAACTCACCTGTGTTTAACCTTGACCTCACCTGTTTTAACCTACCTGTTTACCTTGATTTAATCACCGGTGTCTCTCTCTCTGTCTCTACAGGCCGCTGGGGGCTTGGTACTGGCTCTAAGCATCTGGTTAGCCGTGGACAACACCTCGTTCCTGCTACTAACGCGGGTGTCGGATAATGAGAGTCTGCAGCAGTTCAATCAGCCCTCCGTCATGGAACACGGCGCCTACGTACTCATCGTGGCAGGCGGACTGGTGTTCCTCATCGGATTTCTCGGCTGTTGCGGCGCTGCCATGGAGTCGAGGGCACTCCTGACCATGGTGAGGGGGTGAGGGAGGAGTGGGGGAAGAGGGAAGGGGTTAAAGAGGGGGAGGGGCGAGTAAAAGGTGAGGAATGAGGGAGGGGTTAGTGAGAGGTATGGGGTGAGGGAGGTGTTAGTGGGGGTGGGGAGTTAGTGAGATAGGAGTTAGTGTTTGTGAGGGAGAAGTTAGTAAGGATGGGGTTAGTGGGGGGCGAGGGAGAGGCAGTTAGAGGTGAGGGGCTAGTGAGGAAGGTTCAATTAAGATAGAGGATTTACAAAGCTAGGACATAATACGAGTTTGAATTGAGCGGGGACTTGCCGAGGGCCTAGTAATGACTTTTTCAATTGTTAATATGCATAAAATTGTAGATGCAGGGGTCGAAATAGCACTAGTTTCAGGCTAGTAGAAATATTTAAACTTTAAAGGTACCAGGTTAATAAAAACTGTTCAGATTTGATAAAACTCGTATTTTATTTTAAGTGTAATGGATATTAATATTATAGCAGATTTATTTTATTTTATAGACTATAGTAAATATGTATTAGTTATTTATTATTTATTTATTGAAATAAATAGATAATTGTATGTAAATAATAATAAAATAGAGGTCAGGCCTCCGGACGTTTTGTTTACATGTTCTTATGGCGACTCAACTCTTGGCCAGGTGAGGGGTCTGTCTCCTGTACTACCTCGTAAATCATCTGTAATGTGTGAATATAAACCTATAAGCATGTGGAGATTTGGTATAGGAGTGCTACCAGCTGCCATGAAGCAAAAACACTGTAGGAAACCAGCAGAGTACAGGAAAAATTGTATGATTAGTACTCAGTCAGTCTTTCTGTTGTGTTATGTAGTCACTAGTGTAATATAATAATGTGTTCATTTTATCAACATATACCACGGAATATTAAATTGTGCTTATATTCTTATCACAATGTGGAAAAAAGTACTCATAGTCTCAACATGTGTGTGAGGTCATCTGTTAAAAGTCCATTTAAAGTCCGTTCGCCTCCCCGAGAGTCAGACTCATGATCCCGAAGCATTTATGGACAATATGCGTCAGTAAAATACCTGGGGAGGTCATCAGTAGTTAAAGTTATGAAAGATGATTGTTGGTGAGCTTCGAAACTATATACGGTATGTATGTTCTTTCCCTCCCTGGTGCCAAACACACTCCCTGGAGTTACTAACGCCCTCCTTCCCTCCCTCTCACAGTATGGCCTGATGATCATCGTTATCTTCCTGCTGGAGGTGACTGGAGGCGCCCTGGCTGCTGTCTACAAGGCTGAGGTTTGTGACATACACAAGTTAATTAGTCACAGGTAAAATTGCATGACAAACTTTAACCCACCATGACGTGACATATGTGTTAGTTTATGTTTATATTTGCTTTAGTTTATTATGTAGTCTTTTAATATCTTATATTGTAACAGGCAATATTTACAAATTACTATCATTATTAGTCAACCACTATCATTTTTATATCTCATAGACCTGCCAGTTATAAGATGTGACCTTTAACTCGCACCTTGACCTCCCACAGACGAAGGAGGAGCTGCAGAACTTCTTGAAACACACCCTGAAGAAGTATTACTCGACCCAGAGCCAGGCCAACTCTGTTACCGTCGCCTGGAATGCACTTATGGCCGAGGTACATAAGGATCATTCTCCTCTGTCTGCACACACACACACACCAGGCTTGGGTTCATGTATACTATATTTACTTGTATTTGGTATGAATTTAAGTACCAATTTCTATGTATTTGTACTTTTACTTAAATTTTAGATTAATCTTTACTTGTACTTGATGAAATGTGCATGAAACATTCAAGTGTTTTTTAAGTGCTTTTAAGCTCTTGGTAAGCTAGGCATAATAATGAATCTCAGCAAAATTCATAATGGGTACAATACCTGAGTCAGCAACCTTACAGCTGAACATTACTCAGAGCATTGTTTCCACTTTCAAGGGAATTTCCCATGATATAAGGAAAATTTGAATCTCTCAAGAAAATATTCAAGAAAATGAAAAATCTGAGGAAATCTAAAGTTGAGAAGAAAACATATACAGCAACTTATTTTATTGCTCTTATATTCTGTGATTCTGTTGTGTTTTATTAATAGTTTCGCCATAATTATACATAAATAGTTAACTTGAGTGAGTTCTTATGAAGTTTCCTTCCTGTAAGGTGAAAAAAAGTGAGGTTTTATGGGATTTGGCTTCTATAAGCTAAAAAAAAATTCAAATATTTGTTATAACTTACAGGGAAATGAAGCATCTGTTTGGTCCATGTTAATTCACTTGCATATTCCGAACTAACTAACTAACTCTCAAGCCGAGCATTAAGAGTGTGAGTGAGGGCAAGGTTATAGGAAACTCTAATTATTTATATTATTGTTGTGTCTAGTATGTGTCTAGTATAAGTGTTGTGGTGCATACAGTGGCCTTGTGGTGGATTTACCTTTATATTGGTGAATAATCATAAAAAGAAAGCAAAATAAGGATAATCTTAATTTTCTTAAACTAAAGTACTTGTGTTTGTACTTATGCTTGACAGTAAGTACTTGGAAATACTTAAGTGGAGTCTCAATACCATTTACTTGTGCATTACTTATACTAACAGTGAAACCTCTATATAATGGACTCCTCTTCATATAATCCATTAGTTGGGGGTTTCATATCTAATGGACCCTCGATATAACAAACTTTCATCTCTATATACAGTGGGGTATGCTATAACGAATCTAATTGGTTCTAGAACCTTGTTCGTTATAGCATTCGTTCGTTTTAGGATTAATCCGTTCCAGGCCCCCAAATACAACCACTTAACACTGAAAAATATAATATTAAATTGTAAAAATTGTAAAAAAGTGCATAAATATGCATCTAAACCCTTGAAATAAAGAATATCATTAATACTTGTAATACAGAAACAATAAATTAGTAAAAAAAAAAAAAAATTATAATGTTCGTTGTACGAGTTTCGTTCGTTATAGCATTATCAATTTTATAGGTAAAACCGTTCTTTATAGGAATATTCGTAGTAGGATCCGTTCGTTATAGCATACCCCACTGTAGTTTGTTACATGAGGTTTCATATAACGGACCCTTGATGTACCCGGTAATGGAGTTTCCTCTCCATATTGTCCGTAAAATAGACGTTTTAGTATAGGTATGCTTCATCAAATTAGAGAAGTACTTTACTTAATTGTACTTAGGCAAAAAGTACATGAACCCAAGCCTCTCTTACTATTGATACTACTTAAGAAACTATTTAAGTATTTGTAGTTAAAACTATGATATTTGGGTAAAAATTTGTCAAAATTAGTTTTTTGATAGTTTAATTAATTTTCCACTGCTAATTACACGTCACATATGATTTTTCCCCGGCACTCTTTCGTGTTATTGTGTTGGGAAATTGTAAACATGTTAACTCAATAGGAAGGATTTTTTATCAGTCTTTGTAT